TCTTTACATAAAGTAAAATGTAATTAAAACACCATAGATGTTTGGATACAAGTCTAAATAAGTTAAAGAATCATAACAATTGTTGTATTTTGTATTGTCTCTAAATCACACATTACTACATAAAACAGTATCAACAAAAAATACTATTTCTATTTCTTATTTGTTTTTATTAGAAAAGGGAGGTAGGGGCAGACGTGGCTGGTTGGATTCTAAGAAGCCACAGTAGGAATAACATCACAGGAATGCATGTTGCAAATTGGCTCAGCATTTTTCCACGGGTGGTCTTAGTCATTCTATCAACCTAGGTGTTGGAAGCCTATTGATGCTTCAAAATTATTACGGCCCTCTGTTGAATTTGCACTATTTTAAACTTATACCAAATTCCCAGACAAAAGAAAACCATCACTCAGAACACCACACCCCTGAGGGACTCCAGCCAATCACTGACCATTCTGTACCTAACCTTTGCATTCTGTAACACAACACACAATAATGAAGAGGAGAGAGTACACCAGACAGATGAGTGTGATGAAAACAACAAAGATGAGGATACTAAATGAAACAAATCAGTAAACGATGTCTGCAATAATGCAGCACAGTTGAGAGAGAGAGAGAGAGAGAGAGAGAGACTTCACCAGACAAAACACTATAATAAAAACAACAAAGATGAGGATATTAGTTTTCATAATTTATCCATCTATGAAAACACCTTTGGCGACAAGAAAGTAAATAAAAACCAAATTATAATAATAAAAAAATGAAGACAGGGATATTAGTCTCAATATTAATAGAATCATGTTAGCAAGGACATTGCTCAAGTCGGCTTGAGATTTCATCAAGTAAGACATTGTGGTAAAAACAAGAAAGACAAGGATATATGTCTTTATAAATCATGAAATTTTGACAGTGCAGAAAACAACCAGGAAGCTCAAAAAATGCGCAAAGAAAGATTTTGTCATAAAAATAACAAAGATGAGGATACATGATGGCATCATGACAATTATCAAGAAGTCTAGAGATTATTCTGACCAAAACATTGTAAAACAACAAAGATGTTTATGTTAATCAAAATGCTTCATGGAATCATGACAGACATTTAAGAAAGGTTTGGCAATAAAAACAACAAAAATTAGGATATTAGTCCCGATGCTTCATAGAATCATAAAAGCAGAGACAATAAAAAAGAAACACACCCCATCCAAAATATTGTAATACAATCAATAAAGATGAGGATGTTAGTCTCAATATTTCATGGGATATGAAGCCTAGAGAGCACCCCATCAAAAGTATTGTAATATAAACAATAAAGATGAGGATGTTAATCTCAATATTTCATGGGATATGAAGCCTAGAGAGCACCCCCATCCAAAGTATTGTAATATAAACAATAAAGATGAGGATGTTAGTTTCAATATTTCATGGGATATGAAGCCTAGAGAGCACTCCATCCAAAGTATTGTAATACAAACATTAAAGATGAGGATGTTAGTCTCAATATTTCATGGGATATGAAGCCGAGAGAGCACCCCATCGAAAGTATTGTAATATAAACAATAAAGATGAGGATGTTAGTCTCAATATTTATTGGGATATGAAGCCTAGAGAGCACCCCATCCAAAGTACTGTAATAAAAAATAAATAAAGATAAGGATATTAGTCTTAATACGTTATGAAATCCTAAAAGCATAGATAATAATCAAGAAGCATAGGCATCACCTCATCCAAAGCATTGTAATAAAAACAATAAAGATGATGGTATTAGCCGTAATAATGAATAAATATTAACATCATATGAGAAATTCTTTGAAAAAATTTCATTCACCATGTTTTTACGACAACATGTTTAAGCTTTTACAGTTGATCCCAAATTCTTTCTGATTATTTTCTCTCTCTTCCAGAAGACTTCTTCCTTTTGACCATTCTGTACTTCCTATGTAATTTCTATTCGTCCCTTTTTTGGATAATGCCTGGAAGAAAGTGACAGAGCTATGCAATGTTTAAATCAATCACTCAACACATGAACCCTTCTCATTGCAGACCTTCACAAGTAGCAACAGGAAAAGCCAGGAAGTCTGAAGACGATTCTAAGACATTTTGCCAAAGCCGGCCTTTTATTCTCAGACTTTGCTGACATAAAAGCTACCATTTAAGTATGGCGTGTTTTGGACCGATTACTTGCGGCTCATCATTAAACATTAGAGGATGATTCCTTTCTGATTTCTCAGTAATGTCCTGTGGGGGTGAGGTTATTGGCATCTTATTCCTTTATATAAAATAAATATTTTTCTCTTTTTCCTACTTCTCACTTCATTTACCTTCTTCCTCCTTGCTTTTCTTTTTGCATAATAATCTTTTCCTACATTCAGATTTTATGGGGTTGTTACACATCCCCATTAACAAAAGCCATCTTTTATTTTTGACACTTTATATAAAACAGACATTATATATATATTTTTTTATACTTATTGGAAAACAACCATCCTTTTTTTTAACCCTTATAAAAATCCAGCATTTCCACTCTTATATGGACAGCTATATTTTCCTCCACCTTATATAATACAATTCTAATTTTTAAACTCTACTGAGAAATAGCTTCAGTTTGACTTGATCCTAACAAGTCTCCCTAATATGAAGGCACAGAAAAAAGTCTGTAATTGAAATATAAGCACAGTTTTTTCACAGAAAAACATTTAACATGATCTAACTGCAATGTCAATCGCTATCTGCTACTCTCCTGATAACACTTCTGTTCCTGCTTCTAACATTTCTATTTTTAAATACTTCCACACCCAGTAACCCCTTGTGTCTTAGTGGCTTTATTGCCTTGCATGGAGTGAACACATTTTTAAAAAAATCAACAAAACATTAAATAATATATACAAAGAAATGCAAGCTGAATATATTTACAATCTTGATGGCATTGTTTTAAGTTATTCCTTGCTACTCTAATGTAATTGTGGAAGCTAAAATTCTATGCAACTACCTATTAATTTAGTAATGTTGCCTTAGATATTGTACATATATTACTTGGATGCTGTCATGTCTCCAACTAATAGTTCTTCTGGTGAACTCACTTGGCAATTTTTTAATGGAAAAGTCTGAGCTTCTGCTGCTCGTATTTTGGCATGCTAACACAGCCATCAGTTTCTGGGAACCTCATGAAAAGAAATTCAAACAGTGAAAGATGTCTTTCAGAAACTAAGCAATACATTGTTAGGAAAATATAGCAATGAATGCTAGACAATGTCCTCACAGATGATGAAGAGATTTCAAGTAGCAGAGATTTGAAGTGGCAGAGATGTGTTTCTACAGACAGCTGCTGAGAATACCATGGACTGAACAGGTAGATCCATGAAGGTAGTTGTTAATGGTCAGTCCTCTGAGGCCCACAAGATAAAATCAGGCAACCCCAAGACTCACTGCTTGGTTCAATCCTCTTTCTGCTTTATATTAATGATGTGCCAAAGAGTATTCTCCAATCTTCTGTGAATATCTATGCAGATGATACAATGTTATTTAGGTGCATCTACAACAATCTACAAGATTAAAGATGGTCATATTCCATACCTCTAAAATCAAACTAGTAACATTCCATCATCACTGAGCGGACCCTGAATTTTTGTCTGTCGCAATGTAAGGGTGTTATCTCAGACTCCTTACCTTGAATGACTATTGAGACTTAAGCTCATCACAGACCTCAAGTGGAATTCATATACATAATCCATCAATAAAAATGCTTGGAAAATGTTTGGTTCCCTATACCAGGGGTCGGCAAACTTTTGCTAACTATATGCTGACTTAGGGTTTTAAACTCATTCAGTGTACCAACAGTATACATATTTTTATACAAGTCAAAGTCAATATACCTGTTCTACAATATATTTTTTATAGTAATATATAGTATATATACTTTAGTATATATCAAATTTGAAACAGCTAAATATTTTCTTTGCATTGAAGGAGTTATTGATTCAGACTTTGGGATGTCATTTGTGGCTGCGTGCTACAGGAAATTGATTGTTGTGCCATGTGTGCCATAGGTTGCAGACCCCTGCCCTATACGACTAAGTACCTGACTCCTATGCTCTCTCTTTATAAGTGTGAAATAAGGCTAAGATATGCTGTTATATCTGGACAAGAATTACCTGGTTTTGATAAAGTCCAAAAGCATTCACACAGTCTTGTGGGTGATGAATTATTTTCTACCTGACAATGCCTATCCCACAGTGGAAATGTTGCAAACCTCTTGATACTCTAATATTATTTTCATGGAATCTGTTCAGACAAGATACATTTATTAGTTCAACCAAACCTGACAGCAAAGACTCACTATGCCACAAGATTCACACTGTAATGAACCATCCTCATTCACTTTGTATTCCATTAGTCAGAAATAATATTCACTCAAACAGTTTCCTTCTACAAACTGCTACTTTATGGAACTGGTTTCCCAAGATGATGCTTTCCCAACAATTACAATCTTAACATCTTTGTCTTGGATTAACTTCTATCTTTCCCATATTTCCTCATAAACTACACCTCTTAACATTCACACAACAACCACTTTCAGTAACCCTTTAACTTGAGTGGTTCTTAGGCCTTGTATAGAGTGTATTGGCAATAAAAGATATAAAATCTAAGTAACAAGGAAATTTTAAAGAAACTGGGAACTAAAAGTGTTATGGTAATTTACCCATGCATGCATGGATTCTCTAAGCTATAAATAGAAGCAGGTGCTGCTATTTTGAATAAAGAAATTTGAGTAGACTCTCCGTTTATTTAAACAGTGTTTATTTTGTTTACCAGCCTATGTATTTCTGAAAAAATCAACTTCACAAGAAAGATTTTATAAATATTTTTTAATTTTTAAATTCAGAATATTAAAAAAAAATATATAAAATATATACAGATATCGTGGATATTAGCAGAAATTGAACATAACAGTAAAGTCCAACAGCTCTGTAAAAAGTGAGGTATTGATTTTACCCTGTATGAATATCATGAAGAGAACCACACTTTTAGATTCTTTTTATTCCTTTACTTTCTTTTGTTTTTCTATTATATATCTTCCTATCCACTTCCGTATTTTTCTCTTTCTTTTTTTCTTTCTTTCTTTCTTTCTTTCTTTCTTTCTTTCTCTTTCTATTACTTTTGAAATTCTTCTTCACTCCTTCTCTTTTTATTTTTCCATTATTTATCTTCCTATCCACTTCAATATTCTTTCTTTCTTTCTTTCTTTCTTTCTCTCTTTCTTACCCCTCTTTCTATTACCTTTGAAATTCTTCTTCATTCCTTCTCTTTTTGCTTTTCAATTATTTTTCTTTCCTTCTCTTTCTATCCCCTTTTGTATTCTTTCTTTCTTCATCACTCTTTCTTTTCATTCTTGTAGGCTTCCTTTTCTCTTATTGTTTTTCTCCATTTATTTTCCTTCATTTTATTATTCTTCATTTCACTGATGTTCTTTCTATTGCCATCATTCTTCTTTTCTTTCTTTTTAATTTATTCTTTCATTTTCTTTTTCCCACATTTCTTTTTATATTTCACAACATTCTTGTCTTCCCAGAAGTATTTTCTTCATCTCAGTTTCAGTCGTTCATCCTCCATTGAGCCAAAAAGCCATAAGGTCACTTTGGCAGTCAATGGGCCGTGTTTCTATCAACAGAAATATCCTCCATAGGGAGCAGGCAAAAATGGAGCTGTCACCAGACAGAGGAAATCTTCCCAATGCCAGAATGTTGTCACCAAGTGGAAGCAAGCCAAGAGTTTAAATCATTTCTTTCTCTAACCATGATTACTGATCCACCCACTAGCACCTGAAGAAATTTAATGTGTTCTGAGTTCTGATTCTGTTCAGCATTTAAGAAAATCTTTTAGGTATAAAGTGAATAGATCCTTGCAAAAGCATATAATAGCCTTTCTTGTATAGTTTCTCTGTGGGAGAGAGCTATTAGCCAATAAATGTTAACAATACAAGAGAAATATATCATACTAGCTTAAAAGCTGCCCTATTGGGCAGCATTTAAGCTAGCATCTATGAAGGGCTCCTGATTAGGCCTTCATCAAAATAGGTAAGGAGGGGTAGAGGTGATAGACAACAATAAACTACAGAAGAACACAAAATGGGTATGATGCTAAACTAAATTTGCATCCTGGGTAAGATGATAAACTAAATCCAACAGCAAGGCCCCTGATCAGGAGGTTTTGAGGCACATGAAACCACCTCTTAATTGCTGGTGCTCCCAGGTCCACCCTGACCTGGGGTGGTAGCACCTGTTAGGGTCCTAGCTATGGGTAAATAGTTAACCTACCCAAAGTAGGGTCAAAACACTATGAAAGTGTAATAATAGATTTTAGTACCAGAAATACTTTGTAAAAAATTATTTATAGCAATATGTTATTACCAGTAATACATTTTTGAAAAAAAATATATATTACCAGCAATAAAAATCTTGTTGGAATTAAATAACCCATTGAGGTTGATATGCCATAAAACTAAACAAACCAAACCAAAAGTTCAACAATAATTCTTTTGTCATCATTCAATTTAAAAAAAAATTGAGGTATGTAGGTCCTTACTTTCCCTACAAACAATTATGTTTATTTCATGGGTGATTTTCACTGGATTTTGCAATTAATCTTGATTATTCCAAAATTTATATCCATGTTATAAAAATTGTTATCATACAAATTCATCAAATCAAAAATTTGTCCAGAGAAATCGTATCCCTTGAGTTTGTGAAGAAGACCAGCATGACAAACACCTTTGAGATATATAAAGCCACAAGCCAAGATTTGAATTTCTAAAGCTTGACAGACTCTTTCAGTGAAAACCCTTAACACCTCAGTGGTTGATCTATAGAAGCCAATACCATATTGTTTCGCTGAAAGAATGTCATGTGAAATGAGATGCTTCTTAATCTTAACCCTTTTGAAGTTGATTAGAGCCACGCTAGTAATTTACCAAAAAGAGGTGGACAATGTTTTGTATATTTTCTGCAGTTACAGAAAAAATTTCTCTGATGTCTGTTTATGAAAAGATCACATGTATTTTTATAGTAGGATTTTAATACTAAATTTTAAAACGTATGTCTGTAGCCCTTTAGTTTAGTCTAGTATGCCAAACCCTGTCTAACGCCTTCGGTATATCTAAAGTCACAAGCCAAGCTTTGATATTCTAAATCTTGACAGACTCTTTCAGTGAACATAATTACTAGAGGTGGTGATATGTGTAGTTTATGTTGTTGAAGGTTTGTTGAAGTTATATCATGGAATATAGTTTGATTTCTTTAAGAAATTGTAGGGTATTATATAGATTAATATCATGCAAATATTCTTTCATGTTGATTGATGTATTGTTGGTAATTTTAGTATAAATATGTATTGTTGGTAATTTTTAAAAAAATAAAAATGTATTCCTGGTATTTCTACTATAAAAATGTATTTTTATACTTTCGTAGTGTTTTGTTTGGGGTTTGGTTCAATATTTGCCCATAGCTGGGACCCTAACAGGTGCTACCGCCTAGGGTCAGAGTGGACCTGCGAACAACAGCAATGAAGAGGTGGTTCCACACTCTTCATCCAATCTCCTGATCAGATCCTTGCTGCCAGATTTAATTCATCATCATACCCAGGACTAAACCAAGTACAGAAATTTAAATATTTGAAAAGTGTTTTAAAAGACAATGGAAAATGTAACATCGAAATCTGAAGATGCCTTCCAAATGCTAAGCAAAGTATTACAAAACAGAAAAATTTCATTAGTAAAACAGAGGAAAGTGCTGAAATGTTATATAATATCAGTGCAACGATATGGCAAGGAATACTGAATAATTTCCTTATCGATGAAGAGGAAACTTCAAACAACAAAGATGCAATTCTATAGATGGATGCTAAGAATACCATAGACAGAATATGCAAGCAATGTGGATGTTTTAAAGAAAGCACCAAAAATACTTTGTAAAAAATTATTTATAGCAATATGTTATTACCAGTAATACATTTTTGAAAAAAAATATATATTACCAGCAATAAAAATCGTGTTGGAATTAAATAACCCATTGAGGTTGATATACCAAACTAAACAAACCAAGCTAAAAGTTCAACGATAATTCTTTTGTCATCATTCAATTTAAAAAGAAATTGAGGTATGTAGGTCCTTTCTTTCCCTACAAACAATTATGCTTATTTCATGGGTGATTTTCACTGGATTTTGCAAATAATCTTGATTATTTAAAAATTTATATCCATGTTATAAAAATTGTTATCATACAAATTCATTGAATCAAAAATTTTAGTACCAGAAATACTTTGTAAAAAATTATTAATAGCAATACGTTATTACCAGCAATACATTTTTGAAAAAAAAAAATATTACCAGCAATACATTTTTAAAAAAAATATATATTACCAGCAATAAAAATCTTGTTGGAATTAAATATATTAAATATATAAACAAAAATGATACTTGTACATAGAATCAGAAAGAGATTTATAGGATATATAATAAGGAAAGAGGGGTTCGAGAATTTAACACTTACAGGACATAGTGCCAAATGAGTTCATATAAACAAATGGTAGAACAAGGATTGAGAAAGAGAGTAGGATTTAGTTGGGTAAACAGACCAGCACTTGACGGTATTGCAAGTAGAGTCTAATCTGACAACTGTCTATCTGGGCCAGTTGCTGGTGAGTAGTTTATATAACAAGCTGGGATGTTCCATTATGTTACTTGTATCAACCTATTTTCTAGGTTCTGATTCAATGTTGACTTTAGTGTCGATATGATGATCAATAAATATTCATCATTAATACAGGGGTCTGTATTAAGTTACAGCCTGTTTTATTTTGTCTGCCAATTGGACACTAGTTTGCAACTTTCTTGCAAGGGTGAGTATCATATTTTGATTCTACGAGAACTAACATTGCTTACAAAGGATAAGAAGATGTGGAGAGTCATGATCGCCAATGGAATGAAGCAATATAGCACTTATAAGAAGAAAAATTATTCTTGATTTAAAATATAGATTGATGTAAGATAATTGCTTGTCACAAGAGATTTGACCACTTGGCCTCTATATCTGTTTAAAATGGCACTGAAAATTCTAGAAGGCAAAATGCTTTGAAGCGTGGTAGGACATAATTCTTACTATAAAGCTGTGGTAAAAATAACTAAGCCCTTCTGCCCGAAGATGTTAAAACTGATGCTCCAGACAGTGCTATGTCTCCCGAGTTCTAAAGAGCAGTACTTGGCAGAAATCAAACTATTGGAGAATTTCCAAACTTGTTGTTCTACATTAAAAAGAAAAAGAAAGAACCTTCCCATCATGCTTTTACAAGAAGGCAGAAAGTTCCTTCTTGTTTTCCTTTTCTCTGTTTGTCTCTCTGCCTCTTTTGGAAATCTGAGAGTTACTGCCAGGTCAGAGGTAGTGTTATCGACAGTTATTGCATTTCCATAAATCAATCAAATTTTCTCTAAACTTTTATAACCTGTCAAGGCTGGCCAGTGTTTGCAAGAGATAAAAATGAAATTATTGCTTTGCTCATAAAATAAAGAAAAAATAAAACCAGTACTTAAAGACAAAAAAGTTAGTAAATATGCACATTGCTTCTAATGTTTTCACCTTCAATAGTTTGTTATCCAGTGGAGCAGTTGGAAGTAAGGTTCCGCATGTCTAGCTTGTTAACTAATGCTTCTTGACGAGGAGTCTGATGAAGACGAACCTAGTTGGGCACATGACCACAACAGTGAGGACTCCAGTAAAGATAGAACTCATTACAGTGGTACTGAGCTGTAAAATGAAACGGGGGTCAATACTGAAAAATGTTGATCCCAAACAAGAAAGACATGAGGCAGCCAGTTATAAAAATGGCAAGGAATATTCTTTTGTTTTAACTAACTATATATATATATATATATATATATATATATACACACATATATATATATATATATATATATATATATATATATATATTAAAGGACTTAGATATTAAAAAGACTGTGATGGATATTAAAGGAGATAGATAGATAGATAGATAGATAGATAGATAGATAGATAGATAGATAGATGGCAATTAAAAGGAGATAGATATATAGCTATTAAAAGAGATAGATAAATATTACAGGAGTTAGGCAGATGGATATTAAGGAACTGAGATAGATATCTATGAAAGGTGTAATATATATGTGCAGATTTACAAAGACAGAAAGACACACACACACGATGATTGTCAAACCTATATATATATTTTATAGCTCTGTTTTACTACATTGGGTACTAGTTTGTCGACTCTGTTGATTAAATAAATACTTATTTGCACACCTGCATCTGTACATAATTGCCCATATATATGGTTGATTGTATCTCTTTATTTAGATCATATCTATCTATCTATCTATCTATATATATATATATATATATATATATATATATATATATATATGCATGTAAAGAAACTTGGGTAAATAAAAACAAAACAGAATTAAATGATACTTTGAATCATGCAAAACAATAATGATCTATCAAGACAGTGAGGGAAAAAAAGCTTTATAAACACGAAAATAGATAAGTTTTTTATAGTATATATATTTACATGTGTGTTTGCAT